TTTTCGTGTAACAATTATGATAAATGGTAATTGTAAAAAAATTTAATTGCAATTAATTTTTCGGTACCCCTGGTTCTTAGGGACAGTTCAAGTCACGTGATGCTACTAACTAAATTTTCACGACTTTGACAACTAAATTTAATAAAAATTATATATTTTGATAGTATAGCTCTGTAGAATCGAAATACAAAAAATTGATTGAATTTAATTGGAAAGCTACCAAAATATTTACGCTCAATTTTTTGAAAATATTTAAAACGCCTATCAAAATAATTAACCATAGCTGCCGCAACAATTTGAACCGGCAGATTCTCGATTTTGATTGGCTAAGAGCGACGATCAAAAAATTAGGTCATAATTTTACTAATTAAATCATAGCCGCCCATTAAGTGAATATTATTCCTGAGTCAATTTTATCATAATGCGGGCTTATTTTTTAAGAATTTCTATTTTTGTAATGAAAAATTAAAAAGTTAATTCCGGCCGGAATTTAGTAAACAATTTTGTAATGTGGGTCAAAATTTTGAAGATCCTTGGCCGTTAGCCAATTAAAATCGAGGATCTGCCGGTCCAAATTTGTTGCGGCAGTTATGATTAATATCAAAATAATAGCTGCGGCAAAATTTTTGCTTGGCAACATCATGATTTTTTTATTTAATTTGATTTTACAAATTTGTCGAATCAAAAAAAAATAAAATTTTATCAATTTAATTAAATGGTTGCCGAGATATCTTAAACCTTTAAACAATCTACCGAAATAACAGTTTTTATAAAAATTTGAATAAGGATATCTTGGCAATCACACAACTAAATTTGATAATTTTTTTTATTTTAATTCTACGAATCTATAAAATCAAAATAAAAAAATTTATTGAACTTAGTTGAGTAGTGGCGAGATATCTTAGCTCAAAGGTTTGTAATATTTAAAACGTCTATCAAAATAACTGCGGCAAAATTTTTATAAAATTTTGAGTGAATATCAACCAAATTAAATTCAATAAATTTTTTTATTTCGATCCTATTGATCTGTTGAATCAAATAATAAAAAATTTACAGAATTTGGTTTGGTAGTTACCGAGATATCTTCGCCCAAAGTTTGAAAACATTTAAAAGCTATCAAAAATAGCAACTGCAACAAAATTTGTAAACTTTGAGCAAAAATATCTTGATAACCACCCAATTAAATTCGGTAATTTCTTTACTTTTGATTCTACAAATATATAGAATTAAAATAAAAAAATTTCATCGAATTTAGTTGGGTGGTTATCGAGATATTTTTGCTCAAAATTCTAAAAAAAAATCAACTTTTATTGAACTGTCCCTAACCAAAGTCACGTGCCTTGAACTGTCCCTACTGTCCCTAAGAACTGTCCATAGATCCTCCGCGATACTGGGGAAGATAAAATTTTGTGACCACGTGATGATATGCGCTAAAAATTTCATTGGCCAATTTAAATTACAGATAATAAATGTATTTTTCGAATAATAAATTAACACTTGACATATTAAAGCAAGAGTGAACACTTGGATTAGAATTCGAAGAGCTTTATATAAAGCAAAATCTTGCAAGAAATTTTTTTTGTTAAGAAACAGAACATAGTTTTATAATCAAAATTTTGAGTTATGGACAATTTTTTAAAAAAGCCAGCAGTTTGTTTTGTTTTCATGTTATAACTGATCTCATATCATAATTGGTCTAAATTCACATACTCATAGACTTTTATGCAGTTACTATTGATAATCATGGGACAACTTTTTTGTAAATAGTAAATTAGATGCATATTTACTGGTATGTAGTAGTTATTTCGTACAAATTCGGGCGAAGTCATTCATACAATTTTGAACAAAGTCAATCATACAAATTTGTACAAAGTCGATCATACAAATTCATAAAGTAGTTTAAATAATAAACACAGCCCTTATGTATGCAGTAGTAATCTAAAAGTATATAAGACCGATTTTTTCACTTCAATAAAAAATAACTCAATAGAGTTCAACTCATAAAGAGTCTATTATTCTGACTTTAAAGTTTTGCTCAATTACTCTGATAAGTCAAAATCGCATAGAGTTAGTAGTCTAAACCCATAATCCCGAAATAGAGCCTCGTGACATAATATAGAGCTCTATTTGACCCAATAACTCGGACCAAGTCTTCTACACCTCTTTCGTAGCCTGCCATATTAGGGTTTTGATAGAGTTAGTGTATTGTTTAGATTAGTTTTAGTATTTGGTGATATCTGTGCAATCCCAGATCAGTTCCTACGTTTAAACCATACCACAAAAAGCAGTCTATGGTGATGCGTAGTTATACATAGGTGTCTAAATTACTCCTCTAAATAAAAAATCAATTCGATATTTAGTCTGTTGAAATTAATTTTTCTTAATAGAGAAATTAAATTTCATAGTTGTCATAAAATTATTTGAATTTTTTATGTCAAAATATGTTAGGTAGTATAGTTACTTTGTGGAATTTATATAAAAAAACTAGCAATGTTGAAATGTTTGTCGAAATTGCTTTTTTTAAAAAATAATTTAAACACTCATATATATGCGTAGTATGGTCGTTCATATTACAGCTGTTCTCATAAATTTTGGGACATCTTAAAAATTACTTGTTTCCCAAAATCTCTTCAGTTTCGTCCTAAGAATAATCTAACTTTCTGAAAATACATTGCTATCACTGGACTGAAGTTCCGAAGTCAATGACGTGTTTTGAAGAGTTAGGTGACCTTTAGGACAAAACCGAAGAGATTTAGGGAAATGACAATTTTTTAGTTTGTCCCAAAATTTATGAGAACAGCTGAAATCCCATTTCTGTCCATCAGCATCAACCAATCAGAACCATGACAAGTATATCATGTGTTAATCTAGTAAGGATTATGATTTGAATAATTCTATCCCCAATCCTAAATACTAAAATATATTATGGATCTATCCGTTTAAAATTGACGGATAAGGATATCTGCATTTAATCTGAATTATCGGATCAATGCAAATTAGTCGGATTGTGGATCGAAGCACTAAATAATATTAAAAGCGAATAAATAATTAGGATAGATATCATTGAAATTAATCTTATTCTACAATCAAACCTATTTTAATAAATATACTATGTATTTAATTTATAGTATTCAACTTGGTTGTAAAGAATAGGCACACATCAATAGTCAAATATTTACTAGAAGAAGAAGCTAGGAATGATGATTCAAAAAGTTTTGATCAACAGCATTTCAATCATATTTATTTTGCTGCGAAAAAGAATTATGAAAATATTATCAAGCTATTATTAGAAGAAGCAACTAGTGATCTAATATTACATCATATTGCCGAAGAGGAAGATATTAAAGTTGTTATAATTTTATTAGAAAATGGAGCGAATTTTAATAGCATCACTGATATGAATAGTAGAACTCCACTACATTGGGCAGCATTTGAAGGTTGTGAAGATGATATAAAATATTTAATTAGAAAAAACAAAAATTTAATTAAAGCTAATGACAATAATAATGAGGCTGCAATATATGAATCAGTATGGAATGGTCATATAGAAATTACAAAGTTTCTGCTTGAACAGGATCCAGATATTATTTATTCTAAAAATAAATACGGTTATACATTCTTACAAATAGCTGCAATTTCTTGTCAAGTTGAAATTTTTAATTATTTAAAAAGTAAAGGAAATTTTCAATTTGAACTAGATAACTTTTTTGATAATTTGGATTGGCATAAATTGAATAATTATACCAAATTCATGCATAGTTATAGCACTATTAAAGGATTAATCAACAAGTTATACAATCTTGAGGAGCAATTTGTTAAACTAGATAATAGTGATTTTATTTCTTTTTATCAGTTTCTTCTAAAGTGTATTGAAAAATGTGCAGAAAATCTAGGTATAAAAGAAGAATATAAAAAGATTCTTAACTATCTATATACGTGTACTTTTGGTAAAATTTGCAATTTGAAATTGGAATTAAAATTTAGTTTAGTAATTGATATAGATGAGTATTTCAAAATGATTCAGAATGGTATTAAATTATTAAAGAAAGTAAATAAGCAAGTAGAAATTGATAAATTTAGCAAACAATATGAAGATACAATTAAGAAGAAAATTAAAGAAGCTTATAACATCGCTAAAAATCAGGTTAAATATGAAATAGATAAAACTGTTAATGAAATAAATGAAAAAATAATTTCTTTAATTAATGAAACAAGAAACTTGATAGGAGGTGCTGAAGAAACTAAACAAACTTTAGAAGAAAAGCAGAGAGAAATAGATTATAAATTAGCGCTAAAGCAAATATTAGGAATTTTAAAAATTGTAGGCCAAACAGTAAGCATTGCTGGCGGTCCAATTGGAATAGCTGGCTATATAATAAATGGAGGAGTTAATATAACTGAATCATTTGTTTCAAAATATGATAATTTTAAATCAAAATTTGAAATTCCTTTAGAAATAAGAGATTCTTTAGATAAAATGGAAACTATGATTAAATACAAAGAGATTAAGGTTGAAGGAGAAGAAATTGTGAAAATTGCAAAACAACAAATAGAAATATTATCTTTAGAATGTGATAAACATACAATTCTATCTGATATAAAAGGACATTTGATTAAAATTCAAAAAGCATTAGGCAATATTTCTACAAATATAGTAAATGAAATAAAAGATGAATTAGAAACAATACAAAATAATGTAGAATTAAAAGAAGCAAAAATCGAAATAGATGTAGTGCAGACCATTTTTATTGCGATCAGAGATACTGGAATGGCAGTTGAGTTGTATAACAAGTTCCGAAATGACAAAAAAGAACTTAAACAAGCAGAAAATGATATTAAAAAATTAAAACAATATGAAAAAATGTTAGTGATGCCATTGTTCCTATGATTAAAAGAATGAAAGATGATATTAATAATATAGAAAAGAAGATAAATAACAAATCTCATGCTTACCTTGATATGACTAAGTGGCAGGTGCAAAGCTCATTAAAAGATGTAAAATATACAGTTCAGCAAATCTCTAAAGGTTTTTCAGCACAAGATATAACCCGTTATATGGAAAAACTAGATGAAGCGATGACTACTATTATTAATATATACGATCGCATACGGGAATATTATGATCAAGTAAATCTTGCTAACTATACTGCACGTATTAATTCGCCAATGACTATTGAATTAGAGGATGAAGAATTGAAGGTTGATATTTATAAACTAGAACAAAAAATTCGATCCAGTATCATAAAAGGTTATCTTAAAAGAGCTAGAAGTGCGTTTAAGCAATGGGCATTTCCATTTGCAAATGAATATTCCAATGTATTAAATTCACAGTTTGATAAAGAAGAAGACATTGATAGCATTATGCAACAAATAGAAAGCTTACACATAAAAGTTCAAGAACGTAATGTATATGTTATTAAAGATATAGATAACTTTTTGAAGTATAGTGAATTTAATAGTAAAAATAGATCAACACAGCCATTTTTTGTGTGGGAAAATAACAAACATAGTCAAGAAATGTCAGAATTGCTAGTTGGAAAAGAAGTAACTATTAAAGCAGATATAACAGAAATTAATTCTCATAAAAGTGCTGTTAAGTTTAATGAAATAGGTATTAGATTTAAATCGAAAGATAAAACAATTCAAGATAAAATTGATGATGAGCTTGAAAATTTTGATGTTAAGATGATTCATTCCGGTGATTCATATTATAGATATAACGATAAGTTTTATGTAATAAGAAGTAATGAACAATCTATTGAATATAGCTTTGAAAAAAATAATGAAGGAAAGCCAGTTAGAAGCAATCGTGTGTATGAAAGAATTAGGAATGAAGAGCTAATGCTTAGCCCTTATACTACGTGGAAAATAAAGCTTAAATATGAATCTAAAGATGCTAACTTTGATAAACTAAAGATGTATGAAGAAAAGGTATGCTTAGAGTTAATAGGGCGTGGGATATATGTGGATGGTGAAGATAGTAATGATTTGATGGTAGGGAATTACTACAAAGAATATGAATATAACCCTATTTGAATTTATTCTTAAATGAAAATTCATGACAGTACGTTACTATAGTATAGTTATTTATTATTCTTACTCATTAAATTTATTCATTATTCATCGAAATTTAGTTATTTGTTTATTATTTAGCATTTAATTATATATCACAAAATCTTTTTATAATACGTCTTAAAGATTTTTTCCCTCATAATTATTTATTTTATTTAGCATTTTATTATATTTCACAAACCTTTTTTATATTATTATATGTTTTAAAGGTTTTTTCCCTTATAATTATTTATTTTAAATTAAGGGTTTTTTTTATCTTTATTACATACAATAATATATAAAACTTAAATAAATTTAGGGTTAACGTTTCAACTAATTGTATATAAAAAACAGTTTTCGATTATACTTCATTTTAACAATTATAGGATTTTCTGATGCTATCTATTACATATTGAAATGCATTGTGTTCGTGGATGCAATGATATATATATAAATTCAGAATTACTTGAACCTTTTCTATGATAATTTATTGCAAACGTTGATTAAAAAACTTTAATAACAGCTTTCTTTAAGCGAAATGAACATTTATTTACAATAAGCTCTTTCATAAGTTTTACTGTCGTTGATTGCAAAATCCATTGCTAAATTCTAGTTTGAATTGTAATTGCATACCGACATTTCTGTCTTTTAATAAATTTAGAATACTTTTTTAAAAATTCTTCTAGGTTTTCTATACTTTTAGTATAAAAATTAATAGACCTACACATGCAAATCGCATCAGGATGCACGGTACTGGAACCAGTGCTAACTGCAATTTTGTATGCTTATTGTTATTGCGGTTTGCAAAAACCATGATTTTTGTGATGATCGATGAAAATTTACGAGATTCTAGATTTTCTATTGATTATCATGTTTTCTAACGTATCTATATATTCGTTGAAATATTAAGATTCTCTTAAAATCGGAAAATTGTTTGATTCCCCGTAATTTTACATGACATCATGAGCTACAGAGGTCACACAATAACTGATACGTACGTACCAGTACTAGTACGTAACAGGGGGAAACGTTGAAACGTCCCAAAATTGTTACACAATTGATAAAAATTTTTTTATATTATTTTACAATACTTTTTTGGAAGGCTCGCTTGACTTATGTTTTATATGAAT